TTAGTCAACTGCTGCGCGACAAGAAAATCATGCCCTTAGCATGGAAATAAAACAAATCGCGTTCTCCGTCATCCCTCCTCACAAGGGCCACAGAAAAATCGTGTGCGTGCGTCCTCAGCGTTCACGCCGCCCCATAAAGTGTGCAACATGGCGTGTGTGTGTATTTGGCAGCGCCTATAATTGCAGAGCAGCTGTGCGCCACAAAAGAGTCCAAAGAAAGCAACGGCAGAGAGAATCAGATAGCACACACAGTTTACTCATATCATCACACACACACACACACACGCAGCCCGCGGAATGGGTGCTCTCAACCACAACAGAAGTAAAAAAAAAGGAAAAAAATGCCAAAACGTGGAACGACCAGCACACACACTCTCATTGCTCCCGTAAAGCAAAACACACACACAGGGAGAGAGAGAGAGGTCGCCCACTCAATGCAATGGAAACAAACAGAAACAGTTACGGTGCTCCGCCCATGCAGCCAGGCAGGACGGCAGCGGTGCGTGTGGTGCAAAAGAGAGCACCAACGGGCCTGCATGGGTGTGCATGCATATATACAATGGGCACATTATGTGTGTGCTTTGTGGGATGAGGTGAGGGCGAGAGTCCATGCAAGGGGACACACACAGAGAGTGAGTGAAAGACGAGTGTGTGTGCGGGCGGTGCATGGCTCTCTCTCCCTCACTCTCACGCGGCCACCACCGCAGCAGCAGCCGCACACGCAACAACAAGAAGAAGCAAAAGAGGGGAGGTGGTGTGGGAGACCGCGGTGCTGCCGTCGCTGTCGCCTTTCTTCGCCGTGTCGCCTGTTGTGGCGTTTGTGGTTGGCGCTGTTGTGGAACCTGCATTCTGAGAGACTGTATCGTATTTGTTGGTTGATGCAGCCTCACCATCGGAAGTCGTTCCGGGTGGTGTGGCGGCTTCAGTGGAAGGTTGGCTCGGATGATTGGTGGGCAGAGTTTCTTCTGTGCCAATGTCAGACCGTACAGCTGCAGTTGTCGCGGTGCTGCCGCTGTCGCTTTTCGTTGTTGTCTCACTCATTCCTTCAACTGTCGTGACTGACAATCGTGAACCTTCTTCTTCACCCGTTGAAGCGACAGCTTTTTCGCCGGTGTCATTGTTCTGTCCAATGTCTCCTACCACAGACTGTTGAGAATTCTTCGTGCCAATGTCGTTTTCGCGACTTTTTGTGTCAACACGGCCAGCTGCAGATGTGGATGGTGGAATTGCATGCGGTGAGGTGTTGTGTAACGGAGGCAGCAGAGAACTCGACAAATCTTGTTGTTCTTCACGAACTGGCAAAGTTTCTCTTGATGATTTTATTGTTTCAGCTCCATGAGCTCCATTCAATGATGTTGGCTGCAAGCCTTCATTGTTATTCAACTGCTGGCCCTCCGCAGGCGTCAGTTTGTCTTCAGGCTTTTTTGGCTCAATAATTTTTCCATCCACTTCTCTTTCTTTTCCAGCGTCTTTAGCATCATCTTTTTCTTTTGCCTTTTCTACCTTATTACCACCTTTGGTTCCTAACAGAGTTTCTTCACGAGGTGGGGACGGATCTTGTTCTTGTTGAACATCTCGTACTGAGGTTTCTGAGTCTGGTGTGTGTGAATCTGGCGTTTTAAAGCCTGATGAACCCTGTGAATGTCCTCTTTCCCCCTCAATTTCACCGGGCACATCAGACTGAGAAACTAAGAGTACTTCTTGACATCTGCCAGCACCGCACCACAGCACGCAGAGGGCACACACCAGCAGCACACGGCCAGTCATCATCATCGCCATCACTCCTGTCACTTGCGTGTAGCCTTCAGCACAAACTAACGCCCCGTCAACGTAGAGCAAAAGAAATGAGAAACACGGCTGCTACACCCCACCACCAGCAGCGCACACCGCACTGCAAACCAGAAGTTAAGCAAGGAAAAAAAGAGTCGAGTGTCCGGCAGGACTCTCGGAAAGAATTAATAAATTCATTCGGCAGGACATTTATTTTATGTGCCAAGCGGCACAATATAGGCATGTGTTTGTGCATACATATTGCCTGCATTGAATTAAAAAAGATTGTACTCTTCCACCAGCCCACAAAAAACACTCTCCACACTTCATGCGGCATCCGGCCTGTTCCTCCGCTCCTTCTTTCGTGCAGTCCGTGGGACGCACAGCAATGAGGCCGGCACCGCGTGTGGGCAACTAAACAAAACAAGTAGGGGAAACACGTCACTCATAACAGTGTGCAGCAACCGACCATTAAATAAAGGAACAGCAAGGATACTTATTATTCCAGGAAAGGGACAAAAACAGTAAAACGTAAATAATAAAAGAAAACACGCAGGGAACGCGGCACATGTTCTCCTTGAGATGTCGCAATTCCACACTCTTCGGCTCACAAGTCTGCCACAACTCCACACAATCCCAGAAGAAACAGCAACGCCCAATACACGCACACACGCACAGTGCTGTCAACAGTTAACTCTCGCAGTGTCAATTTCGCGTCGTTGAGCAGGGCAAAGCAGTCGTCGGGACTCACACCGCTCCCGGAATACTGCGCGGTGAATTCTCGTAATTGGGGTTTGTTTTCGTGTCCAGAGGCATTGCGTTGACTCAATCCGCCCGCATCACCCTCAGCAACAAATCCACTGCCTGCAACGCCATTTTCTAAAGAAAGGAAATTTGTGTCCAGTGGCGCTGCGCTCATTCACCTCGTCCGTGTTATCCGCAGCAACGTGTTCCCTGCCGCCATAAGTGACAGACATGATCCCGGATCCATTCGACACCACTACTATTCTCGGACCGCTGGCAAAGGAAGGCCTCTTCTTGGATGCATTCGGGAACATCACTTCGTTCGAATTGGCGGCAAACTCAGGCCTCGTCTCGGACGTGTTGGTCGCCGTGTTGGATGCGGGACTCGGATCGACGGTGTTGGGTCCGTCAGCCGCCGCAGACTGTCGCCAATCCTCGTGTTGACGTGACGGCTCAGCATTAACTTGCGGCGCAGTTATCCCACCACATTTTGTGTCATCCTCCTCCCTTCACGGGGTGGCGGCAACTGACAGATGCCCGTACGGTCAGCATCGCCGCTCCGTGCAGGCGGATGGATGGTTCCATCGGGAGAAATTCACGCCGCCACAATTCATAAGGGCCGGCGTATTTATGTGTCGTCACATTCATCGTGAAGGCAGCGGTGGCCCCTTCCTCTTTCGCTGCACAGCTGGCAGCACAGTTGCTACATGTGTGCACCGCATTGGCCACATTGCACACAGCACACAGCTCACCATTCCTGCCATGCATGCGCACATCAAAGCCACTGAAAGTATAATTCTCATACTGAGCCTCGGCAATGGCGGGAGAACACTTCTTCCACGCCCACACACACACACGCGATAGCTCAGGCTGCCGTCATTCGGAGCACACGACAAATCCACCGGCACAACTACCGCATCCGCATCACCAGATACATGTCCAGGACTCCCAGCAGCCGTCACGCACACGGAGCAAGCACACACCACACCAGCCACACGCGCCAGTGCACCCTCATCCATCCATGAAGCGGCAACAAATTTCGTGCCATCCCGCCCTCAATGGGACACGGAGCCCAACTCAACGCAGTCACACGCGGTGCATCACACCCACAGGAAAGGAGACTCGGGCTGCGCACTCCCTCTCTCCCTCCTTCTCATGGACACGGAGGAAAACAACAGCCGCCACACGCAACTGCCAGCATGCACTACAAAAGGAGCATTCAAACCCACTGCAATGTGCATCTTGTGTGTGTGTGTGTGCCTGCAGAAACACAAAGCAAAGAAATGGAAGGGAGCAGAGTATGTGGAGAGACGCACAAAATGTACAGCGGAGACGCAAAACGGAAACAACAACAAGAAGACCGCTCAAACTCATGACTGCACTGCAGCCCAAGCAGTGGCAATTCACACAATATTTATTGAAAACAAAAAAACTTCCCCCTTCGTCTTATATAAACCCCATCACACAAAATAATTATAAATGAAAAAGAAATCGTCCATTACTGTTCCACACAAATTTTAAAAATCCTGGCAGCCGTGTGGCCACACCAAACTCTCTGTACATATTTTACCCTCAAAAGAAAATTAAATAGTTACATGTCTTTCAACCGTCTGACCCTCCATGTGTCCGCACATCGTTTATATTTCATGGGGTCATCTGCGTGTTGCTGCTCCCCTCAGCCCTCTCATCGGCGCGTGAGTGCGGCCCGCAGAGCTCAGTCACTCGTGTGTGTGGGGGGACTGAGAGAAGCACGCAGACATGACGGGAGTCGCGTCACTCCATCGGGAGAGTGAGCGCAGCAAAAAAAGAAAAATCATCGGAGGGGAGAGAAATGTTCAAGAGAGTGCCAGCGCGTGAAATAAACACGCAAAGCAAAACAAATCTTCAAGGAAAAACACGGCGGCAGGGTGTGGCTGTGTGTGTGTGTGGCGCTGCGGGTGTCTACCCGCCCTGGCCGCAAAAAAACAAAACAAGAGGGAAAGAAATGTGTGCTCCGCCCCACAGGCACTCGTCGCACGCCCACACGTCACGGCTCCCTCAGCGCGCCGTTCGTCGCGGCCCCTCCTCATGCGTGCAGCAGGCGAGGCGCACAGGGCCGTCGTCATGAGCGTGTCGGTGGGTGTGCGAGTGGAGCAGTTGGGCGGGAAACACACGGCACCCCTCACAGGAAGAGTGCAGAAGAAACAATTAAAAGAGGGAAGAGTAGAAAAGAAAAAAAGACGTCCATAGTGATTGCCCCCAAAAGCATAAAAAGTGTTGGGGGTATGAGGGATTAGAAATAAAAACAGAAAAGAATTTTAAAAAAGAAAAGACGCCCAATCGCACAACAAAGAAAAAAGAAAAAAAGACAAATAAATTAAAATCGCACAGCAAAGCAAACAATGAGAAAAGTTAATAAAAGTTATTTAACGAGAGAAGTTCATTACCAGGTGTGTGTGTCGTTGCTGGGGATGCCGCAAGTGTCCCACGCGGCAGCCAGTCACTCCTCACAGAGCCGCAAACCACCACAGTCCCAACAGAAGAAGCAGCGATGGCAGCAGTCCGCTCCCACACATGCTGCCGGCATCACCGTGTGCTCCACCGTCAAGAGCGGTACCTTCATCCGTTTTTCCTTCTTCTGCTGTTTGTGGAATAGAAAGTTTAATTGTGTTAAGCGCAGTAAGCTCATTGTCACTCAACGGGCGGTTGTACAGCAGGACGTTCGTCACCGTCACAGACACGCCTTCTCGGCTCCCCGCGCTGCTTCCATCCCCTCCAATGTAGAAGTGTGATATCCCTTTTGAACCGTTATCCTTCAAATCAAATGGCGCACCTTCCACACGCCTACCATCGACGTACACAAAGCCCTGGATGCTGTTCCGCAGCACAATGGCCACTTGGTGTGTTTTCCCTGGCTCCCAATTGCTGCTGAGCTCCGACGCCTTCCCGCCACTGGACAAAAGTTCCAACTTCTTTTCTCTGTTGCTGTACGACAGCCCCAGAAGTACAGTACTCTTATCACCATTCATCCTCTTCGCACCCATCAAAGGAATGGGAGTATCTTCCTCCGGCACCTCGTCGATGGACACCGTCGCCACAAGAGTGAAGTTGTAGTTCGCAAAGTGGTAAAGCTGATTCTCCCCTTGCTTGCCAACGGGCCACTCCGCCCACGCTCCCTGGAACGTCACACTGCCTCCATGCAATGTTGCCTTCTTACCCCCTTCATCATTGTTCTTCACTGTGGCGTCCACCCCGAGGTACTCGTCCCTCCATTTGTTATCAGAGAAGCTGCCAGACAAAAATCCAACCAGCCCATCCGTGATCTTATCAGCGTTGCAGGCATTGTCAGCTGAGGGATTCTTCTGAGCAAGTGAATTGGTGCACAGCTGGGAGACACGGCTGTCCACTTCCTTCCAGGTCGCCAGCACATCCTTCACCCACTGAAGCTGCTCATTCAGACGCACAGAGAACATACCGAGTGATGGTGTATCCGCATCGCCCTTCTTCTTCTCGTACAGTGCAATCAACTCATTATTACCTCCACTTCTGTACAACAGGGAGCTGGCGGCAGCGTCTTCCTCGTCACCGGATACCGGCCCAATATCAACAATGTGCGTATTGTCCGTCAGCCAAAGATGGAGTTCACCCTTTTCCACATTTTCCTTTTCTCCTTTTTTGGAATACACCGGCAGAGTGACGAGCATTACGTCCCTGTCCTCAATTTTCGCTGTGATGAACCCGCTACCAACGGCCTTCTCAATTCCGCCCTTTTTGTTGCTCCACACGCGCGAGAGTGTCCCGAGTGCCTCAGTCCACGACTCCCCCTTGTCACCGGACTCGTACACCCTGCGGCGGCCACCATCACACGCAGTCATCATGATGAGTTTATCGTCCTTCCACTCCACGACGGAGGGAACCCTGCAGCCACCGTCAGACGTCCCCTTCGACAGCGTCCAACTCTTAGCATCCTTCGAGTATAGGATCAGCGAGACGGTCTTTGTGTTTCCATCCTCGTTCTGCTTCTTTGTGGCTTCCACTGGGAACAAAAAAGCACCGTCATTAGTCTTAATACCCGATCCACCGCTGCCTATCAGCTGCGTCAAGCATTTGTGTTCATCAGCAGAAAAGGTGCCGGCCAGTCGTTGGTTCTCATTCCATTGGATTCTTTTTTCACCTCCACTTTCCTCAACACTGACATTCCCTTTCACCAGCAAAAGTCCACAGTCACCTGCACCACTCCCCGGAGCACCACCAGTGGCAGCTGTCCGGCTGTATTTTCCAACAAGCATGTAAATATCATTTCCCTGCACGACTGTTGTTGGTCGGCTCACATCCACTTTCTTTGGGTCTTCGGAACCGTCTTCCAGAAATTGTGTCTTATCTTTGGCTCCATTTAGCACTTCCACTGGTGTGTCAGCATTATCTTTCGTGAGTAGTTGGGATGCAATGCCAGTAAAAATGTTTGCATCACTCTTCTTGCACTGCGCCTCGACAACGGCAAATACGTCACTCCCCACTTTCAAAAGGCCGGGAGCACCTAACAATTCCACAGTTACACCCTCATCCTTGATGTTCTTCCATTCAAAATTTGGATCTGTCTCTGACTCACTGTTCTCATCAGCGGCTGCAGCAACACCAGTGTTGCAGCACATCATCACGACGAGGAGCAGCACCGCAGAGTAGAAGAGATGCCGGGACATGTTGGGCCTCTGCGGCTCACTCTCTCTTCCTTCCCTCCTCCTTCCGCTGGATCCGGTCACGCGGCGACGGTTGTGTATGCGGGGTGCCTTCACTGCAGCAACACGTGAGAGCATATAAATATGTGTGTGTGGGCGGTGTGTGTGCTGTTGGTCCTTTCAGAGCCTTACAATTTCACAGTAGCGATTAGCGCTTAGCCTTACTTCCTTTCCTTCTTTGTGTGTGAGAAAGAGAGAGAAGAGAAAAAAGGAGTGAAACAGTGAACACCGCCACCCCTCCACAGTGAGTGGCACCATCATCCCCGCCGCAGTCATTCCCAACAACAACAACTCGTGCACACAGACACACGGAAAGAGACGGAAGAACAGTGCACCAAGAACACACAGCGACTGCCATCAACAGCAGTAAAAGCCACGGCGGGTGCTTCCGCCACGCGTCAGCGCACAGAGCAACGCACACACGCTGCCGCCAGTCGTTTTGCTGTTGTCTCTCCCGCACCATCCATCGCACATCGCCCCGCACAGCCGGAGAATCCTCCGTCGCTGTATGAACTGCGGGAGGAACACGTCGGCACGTGTAGCTGCTGGGCAAAAATCCATGCTCACTTATCCCAGGCACCCACAATGCCACACCACGTTAGTCAACTGCTGCACGACAAGAAAATCATGCCCTTAGCACGGAAATAAAACAAATCGCGTTCTCCGTCATCCCTCCTCACAAGGGCCACAGAAAAATCGTGTGCGTGCGTCCTCAGCGTTCACGCCGCTCCATAAAGTGTGCAACATGGCGTGTGTGTGTGTTTGGCAGCGTCTATACTTGCGGAGCAGCTGTGCGCCACAAGAGAGTCCAAAGAAAGCAACGGCAGAGAGAAGCAGATAGCACACACACAGTTTACTCATATCATCACACACAAACACACACACGCAGCCCGCGGAATGGGTGTTCTCAACCACAAAACAATGAAAAACAAAACAAAAAGCTAAAACGTGGGACGACCAGCGCACACACTCTCATTGCTCCCGTAAAGCAAAACACACACACAGGGAGAGAGAGAGAGAGAGGCCGCCCACTCAATGCAATAAAAACAAAACAGAAACAGTTACGGTGCTCCGCCCATGCAGCCAGGCAGGACGGCAGCGGTGCGTGTGGTGCAAAAGAGAGCACCAACGGGCCTGCATGGGTGTGCATGCATATATACAATGGGCACATTATGTGTGTGCTTCGTGGGATGAGGTGAGGGCGAGAGTCCATGCAAGGGGACACACACAGAGAGTGAGTGAAAGACGAGTGTGTGTGCGGGCGGTGCATGGCTCTCTCCCTCACTCACTCTCACGCGGCCACCACCGCAGCAGCAGCCGCACACGCAACAACAAGGAGAAGGAAAAGAGGGGAGGTGGTGTGGGAGACCGCGGTGCTGCCGTCACTGTCGCCAGTCGTCGCCGTGCCATTTTTCATGGCTGTGGCTTCGACTGTTGTTTCTTTCGGAGGTTGAGCATTCTCAGTAGTGTCAGTTCCAGTGGTCGTTTCCTCGTGAAGTGGAGGGATTCCATTTGAAGACGGCGTAACTGCTGCTTCTTGACTGCCAGTTGATGTACTCTGCATTGTAGTGGCTGCGGATGCAGGATGTTCGTTAATGCTTTCGGCTGCATCAGGTAAATTCTCTGATGCATCCGTGCTCTTGCTCTTTGTCTCCTCTTTTACTGACGTCAATACTTCGTGGTAAGTTTTTGGTTCTTTCGCTGCTGCTTGTGATGATTTCAATGGAGTCTTTTCACTTTCTTGTAATTTTGTATTTGGATCAGCTGACGATTCGTCTGTTCGGGAAGCTTCTGAACCCCCTTTTACCGTTATTTGTTCTCCCGAAGAGCGTAAACCGCCGGCACCCAACGTGGCGACTTCGTTGTAATTCTGACCCGTTGTTGTTGGAGCAGAACTGTTTTGTTCCAGTCCGTTGTTGAGTGTATCTGCTGCCACTCCATCGTGTGGCTGGGCGTGTTGACTCTCCTTTGCTTCTGGCACCTTATCTTGTTTTGAAGGCTTCCCAACTGCATTGGGTGAAATACTGACGGTGGACCCTTCGCCACCAATGCGGGATGAAGAATCAACACCAGAAGAGGACCGCGAAGTGAGAATGGCGCCAGGACCAGCAGGACCAGAAGCACCAGAGGGTGGTTTTATTCCTCCTCCTCCTCCTGCTGCTGCTACTGGTGGTACTACCGGTGGTGGTGTTTCGCGTATCTTCGCTTCTTCCTCCGCTTCTTCATCTTCGTTGTCTTCATCTTCTTCTTGTTTTTGATCGGAAATTAGTTTTTTACGCGACACAATAGCAGCTGAAGGATCCTGTGTCGTCTGGTCCTTTCTTCTTGTTGCATCTGTTGATTCTTGTCCTGAAGCCACCGGCTTTTCATCTTTTATTTCGGGTGGCGAAACCTCTTTATTCCTTGCCTGGCCATCCTTGTCCGTGCTGACATCCCCGTTTCCAGCAGCAGCCGCAGCAGCAGAAGCAGCAACAACAGCAATCCGTTGACGTCTCCAACGACGACGGCCATCCACAACGGCACGCACACTCTCCATTGCCTGACGCACACACTCATCGACGGCGGACGCATTCCCACTGCCTCCTGTCCTCCTGCTGACCTCCTCCGCGCATTCCCTCCGCAGCCGATTACGCCACTGCAAAAGTAATTCCCCATCTGCACTGCCATCGCCACCGCCAACACCGTCGGCCGCAATTCCAGATAAACCGCACCACGGCACGCAGAGGACACACACCAGCAGCACACGGCCAGTCATCATCATCGCCATCACTCCTGTCACTTGCGTGTAGCCTTCAGCACAAACTAACAACACGTCAAAGCAGAGTGAAAGCAAAAAGGAGAGACACGGCTGCCACACCACGCCACAGTCAACGTACAGTGTCAAATTGCAGCAGCAACGGAGCACACACAATGAGGCAAAAGGAATCAGCACGAATGCAAAACTTGCACACCGCCCTGCAAACCAGAAGATTAAAAAGCAAGAAAACAAAAAATTAAAAAATAAAGAAAAAACACAAGACTCCACTGCGCATGCACATGGGTTTGTCTGGGATACGTTCAACATGACGTATTTGGAGAAGCAACATGGACCACACAGCAGGGCAGCGGATGCAAGTGAAGCAAATCACAATCATTATTTTCTTTTATTTATTTACATCAGACCACAGTGGACGCGCACAGCCCGCACACACCTCTTCAGCCCACAGTGGTGTACGCCAGCGCGGATACGGCAAGCAGCAGCGGGGCACACACCCACGCAGAGCTGCTGAGGCTGCCGTCGATTTCGCGAAGACGTGACGGTGCGCGGGTGGTCGTCGTTGTGGTTGGCGCCTCTGCATCCCTGGCCGTATCACTTGGTGCCTCTGGCGCAGTGGTGGTGGTCGTTGTTGTAGTTGTGGTCGTTGTGGTTGTCGTGGTTGGTGCCTGTTCATTAACTTCTTTACCAGCTAGCGCCATTTCTTTATTATGCTCCGGACTATTTACAACGGACTTATCGGAATCACCTGTTGATCCTAGTGAAAGGTTATTCCCTTTTGATGCCCCTTGCTGACCAGACGCATCTCTTCCATCTTGCAAAGTGGGTACTACACTTGGTCCTTCTCCTGTACCTGTCGATGTTGGAGTTGCTGACGCAGAGACGGTCTTCAATGGTGTCTCGGAAGGAATGGGCTCCTTACCTGAACTCTGTACAATACCTTCCGTGACTTTTGCTCGTGGATTATCGGAATCACTTGAACCCCCTGAATCCTGGAGCTTTGGACCCTGTCCAACGTTGCCAGATTTATCATCACCCTCTGCCGCGCACACGTACGGGCCGCAGCACAGGGCAAGCACCAACAGGGCGCACAGCAGACGGCACGTCATCATCATCGTGAGTGTGGTCGTTCGGTGGTGTGGAGCTGATCTGCACAGTGAGGGACATGGAGAGCAACAGGGGAGACGAGAGGTGCGGCAGACACACACAGAGGGCACACCACATGAGGAGAGGGCAGCGGCCAGGCATGCACCGTACGCCGCACACCACGCACGACACACACTCCAATCCACGGCAACAGGCACACACACACACACACACACACACACACACACACACACACACAGCCCTGCCGCAACACCAACACACAGATGGAAGAGGGAGAAGCAAACAGGAGCGGCACACAAGGCTCCACCGCATGCACATACGGTGAGAGCGGTCCGTCGTGTCGGCACCCCTCACGGAGGTGCAGCGCACACAGCAACACAAAGGCAAAGTAAAAATAATAAAAATAATAATCTCTGCACACCGCGTGAATTCGTTTTCCACGGGAAGTGCAGCCAATATTCATCAGAAGAACAATCTATTTTCCACTAGCCTTCTCTCCCCTCCAGCACAAACCATTTCATGCAGGCCCGGCCACCATCGAAGCTGCGGCTGCACAATTGACACGAAGATGCCAAAGATTAGAGTTGTTGTGGAGGCCCGCGGTGCTACTGTTACAGTCGGCAGTGGGCCGCTCCTCCCCATCATCTCGTCATATCCACGGCGGTGCTGCAGAGCGGGTGCAGCGGCAATACACCCAATGGCGCAGTACATCAGCAGCAACACCAGCAATGGGAGTGGCGGCGTGGCATGGCGAGGCTGGCGCATGGCCTGAGGTAAATGCATTTCTTGGTTTCGTGTGAGCAGCAGCAGTAGCAGTGCAGCGTGGCTGTGGGAGGCGGGAGGCAAAGGAAAAAGAGAAAGAAAAGAAATAAAACGATTTATTGCCAGTGGCGCGTCAGGATGCGGTACACGCAGCGGAGTAACAGGAGACCACAGAGGCGGCCATACACACCGCGTGCGCACCAACTCCATCAATGGGAGAAACCGTCAACCCGTCGTCGACTGAGCGTCCATCACCGTCGCACACATTCCTTATCGGCCGCAACGCTCCCTCCACGCGGAGTGTTTGGTCTGCTTCCCTCGTGATGCTGCATTGTTTGTGTGACCGTCCACCAACCTGCCACCACTTGCACAGCGTCAGTTCCAGGTGCAGGAGCATCGCACAGCGCTCTCTCTTTCTCTCCCAGCAGCTCATATCATATGGCATCACCGCACGGCAGCCTCATCGTGATGCGCAGCCCTGAAGCGGGGGTGCAAAGCGTCGTGTGTGCAAATATATTTCTACCGTTTCTCAGGATGCTCAAAAACAAGTGTGACGGCATTGCAACTGTCGTGACTGTTTCTCCCCGAACTGCCACTGACCGAGAGGCTACTGTGAACGCACTGCGTGGGAGTCACCGTTTTCGCCGTTGCTCTCTTCACCGGCCCACGAACACACCGGCCGTTCCAACACGGTGGATATGAGCGCTACCAAATACAGCCACAAGCACCAACACACCAACCCCCACAGTGCCCTCCGTGACCATCCGCAGCGTGCGTGCGTGCGTTCTAAGACTTCACACCGCTCCACAGCGTCTGCGTCATGCCTTGTGTGCATGTGCTTGTGTGTTTGGCAGCGCCTATACTTGCAGAGCAGCTGTGCGCCACAAGAGAGTCAGAAGAAAGCAACGGCAGAGAGAGGCAGATAGCACACACGCAAATTACTCATATCATCACACACAAACACACACACGCAGCCCGCGGAATGGGTGTTCTCAACCACAAAACAATGAAAAACAAAACAAAAAGCTAAAACGTGGGACGACCAGCGCACACACTCTCATTGCTCCCGTAAAGCAAAACACACACACAGGGAGAGAGAGAGAGAGGTCGCCCACTCAATGCAATAAAAACAAAACAAAAACAGTTACGGTGCTCCGCCCATGCAGCCAGGCAGGACGGCAGCGGTGCGTGTGGTGCAAAAGAGAGCACCAACGGGCCTGCATGGGTGTGCATGCAATATATACAATGGGCACATTATGTGTGTGCTTCGTGGGGTGAGGTGAGGGCGAGAGTCCATGCAAGGGGACACACACAGAGAGTGAGTGAAAGACGAGTGTGTGTGCGGGCGGTGCATGGCTCTCTCTCACTCACTCTCACGCGGCCACCACCGCAGAAGCAGCAGCCGCACACGCAACAACAAGAAGAAGCAAAAGAGGGGAGGTGGTGTGGGAGACCGCGGTGCCGCCGTCACTGTCGCCAGTCGTCGCCGTTGTATTTTTCGTGGCTGTGGCTTCGACTGGTGTTTCTTTCGGATTGGCTTCTTTACTTTCATTTCGCTTTTCCTCTCGAGTTACCGCACCATCGGCTGCTGGGTCACTGTCGCCAGGCGTTTGTGTACTTTTAAGTTTTGTTTGGTTCGCTGCTCCCTCTACACCAGAAGATATAATTGGCGGCTCCTCACTGCCTGTTGACATCCCCTTTGTGGTGTCGGTATCATCTTCTTTGATTTTCTTCTCCTCCTTCTCCTTATCTTCTTTTTCTTCTTTCGTTTCCCCCTCTTCTTTATTCTTATCATCTTCATCTATTTCTTCCTCTTCATATTCCTCTTCCTCCTCGTCATCATCCTCCTCGTCATCTTCGTGCTTTTCTTTCTCATCCGTTCTTTCTTTCTTGTTTTTCATCTTTTCTTCTTCCATTTCTGATGCTTGTTTCCCGGATTGTTGTGCCGCTGATACATCTGCTCCCGCTGCCGCTAAACTTAAGTCTGTCACCGATTCTGCCGGTAATTGTGGCTCTGCCGGCACACTGGATTTGACACCTCCTCCAGCGCCATTAGTGGTGTGTGTTCTACTGTCAGGATTATTGCCACCTTGAGACGCACCACCCGGAAGATCTGGAGTTGTTTCAGAACATCCACCACCGCCGGCACCGCACCACAGCACGCAGAGGGCACACACCAGCAGCACACGGCCAGTCACCATCATCGCCATCACTCCTGTCACTTGCGTGCAGCCTTCAGCAGAAACTAACGCCCCGTCAACGCAGAGCAAAACCAAAAGGAGAGAGACACGACACACTCACAGCCACCACCAGAAGCAACACGCATTTCACGAAAGACGTCAAACCAATTAAATTTTAAAAAGGCACAACGACATGCAAAAATTAAAAAAAAAAAGCAGACAAAAAGCAATAAAGTAAAACAGTAAAAACACAAAAAAAACAAAGAGCTGCACACGAATGGCTGCAGTGCGCATGCACCCATCCTCAACAGTGCATCGATGCAAACAGTCGTGTGTGTGTCGCGCTTGTATGTGTGCCTGGAATGCGTTCCACGTGACGGATGCGAGAGCAGCAAAATGGAGCACACAGCATGGCAGCGGAAGCAAGCAAAGCGAAACACAATCATTATTTTATCCTATTATTTCGTACATCGGATCACAACAGCTGGCACGCACAAATACTCGTGATTGGGTGCTGGCACGCACAGCTTACACACAATTCTTCAGCCCAGAGCGGTGTACGCCAGCGAGGATGCGGGAAGCAACGCGGAGCACACACCCACGCAGAGCTGCTGAGACTGCCGTCGATTTCGCGAAGAGGTGACGGTGCGCGGGTGGTGGTCGTCGTGGTTAGCGCCTCTCTATTCATGGCCGTATCACTAGGTGCCTCTGGCGTATTCATAGTAGTGTTTGTTTTGTTTGGCATTTTAAACTTCTCATTTTATATCTGTGCCTTATGATTCTCATCACCTTGTGTATTTTACTGCTTCCTTTTATTTTGTGCATCTGACATACCGGTCGCACCTTGTGTGTGTGTGTGGAGACTGAGTTGCCAAACCTGCTGGTTCTGGATTATCGCTAGCCGAACGTAGTGTCTCTGGCGGAACTGGTGTCTGTCCAGTGATGGCTGTGCCTGCTTCCTTTGGAAAGAAGGTCCTTGACTTCTCAAACCCTCCTCACTGTCTCTCCCACTCTCTGTCTGTGGCACACCGGTCTCCCCACCATATGGCTGTAATGCACCAGGCGTATTTTTCTGTAGGATCCGGTTTCCCTAGCTCAGGGCTGGGAGGACTGCTGTTATCATCATTATCGTCTCCTGTCGCCGTCACGCACACGGACGTGCAGCAGCAGCACAAGAGCGCAAGGAACAACACGGCGCACACCGTCACCATCGCAGTCATCATCGCCCGTAGTGGAGTCGCTGGTGTCAGTCAGCCGATCGATGAGACGGAAAGGAAAAGGAATGGAACGAGAGGGAGAGGGACGGAGCACAGCGGATACAGCGAGAGAGAGCAGACAACATGAGGAGAGGGCAGCAGGCCCAGCCGCACGGTTCACACACCACGAGACGGCATCCACGCAAGGAGGGCACACAACGCCAGCAGCCACCCACCATGCAGGAGGAGAAGACATCCACCACCACCTCCCCCAGCTCATTCCTGCAGCCCCAGGGAAATGGCCAAAACCCCGCGCCCACCACACAACGCACACGGAGCAAGCGAACCCTCATCCATCCATGACGCGGCACAAAAATTTCCTGCCATCCCGCCCTCAATGGGACACGGAGCCCAACTCAGCGCAGTCGCACGCGGTGCATCACACCCACAGGAAAATAGACTCGGGCTGCGCACTCCCTCTCTCCCACCTTCTCATGGACACGGAGGAAAACAACAGCCGCCACACGCAACTGCCAGCATGCACTACAAAAGGAGCATTCAAACCCACTGCAATGTGTATCTTGTGTGTGGTTGTGTGTGCCTGCAGCAACACAAAGCAAAGAAATGGAAGGGAGGGAGCAGAGTATGCGGAGAGAAGCACAAAAATGCACAGCGGAGACGCAAAACGGAAACAACAACAAGAAGACCGCTCAAACTAATGAGTGCACTGCAGCCCAAGCAGTGGCAATTCACACAAGATTTATTGAAAACAAAAAACGTCCCCCTTCGTCTTATATAAAACCCATCACACAAAATAATTATAAATGAAAAAGAAATCGTCCATTACTGTTCCACACAAATTTTAAAATAAGAAAAAGAAGGTCGCCTGGCAGCCGTGTGGCCACACCAAACTCTCTGTGTATATTTTACTCGCAAAAGTAAATTAAAAAGATGGTTGCGTGTGCTTCAACCGTCTGACCCTCCATGTGTCCGCACATCGTTTATATTTCATGGGGTCATCTGCGTGTTGCTGCTCCCCTCAGCCCTCTCATCGGCGTGTGAGTGCGGCCCGCAGAGCACAGTCACTCGTGTGTGTGGGGGGACTGAGAGAAGCACGCAGACATGACGGGAGTCGCGTCTCTCCATCGGGAGAGTGAGCGAAGCAAAAGAAAAAAAAAATCATCGGAGGGGAGAGAAACGCTCACGAGGCCGACACCGAAGGGTGTGCCACCGCATGAAATAAACACGCAAAGCAAAACAAATCCTTAAAGAAAAACACGGCGGCAGGGTGTGGCTGTGTGTGTGTGGCGCTGCGGGTGTCTGCCCGCCCTGGCCGCAAAGAAAACAAAACAAGAGGGAAAGAAATGTGTGCTCCGCCCCACAGGCCCTCCTCGCACGCCCACACGTCACGGCTCCCTCAGCGCGCCGTTCGTCGCGGCCCCTCCTCATGCGTGCAGCAGGCGAGGCGCACAGGGCCGTCGTCATGAGCGTGTCGGTGGGTGTGCGAGTGGAGCAGTTGGGCGGGAAAAACACGGCACCCCTCTCAGGAAGAGTGCGGCAACAAACAATTAAAAGAGGGAAGAGTAAAAAAGAAAACCGTCCATAGTGATTGCCCCAAAAGCAAAAAAGAAAAGAGGAATGGGGGAGTGAGAGAAAAAAACGCAAAAGAACAGATAAATTAAAAACGCACAAAAAAGCAAAAAGGGGGAGAAGTAAATAAGAGTTATTTGAGATAATAAATTCATTACCAGGTGTGTGTGTCGCTGCAGGGGAGGTCGCAAGTGTCCCACGCGGCAGCCAGTCACTCCTCACAGAGCCGAAAACACCCACAGTCCCAACAGAAGAAACAACGGCAGCAGTCCGCTCCCACGCATGGTGCCAACATCGCTGTTATTCCCCTGTGACAAATTTCCAAGGCTGCTGCTGAGTGCTGTAGCCTTTACTTCGCCGTCCTGTGCATGGATGTCCTCCCGTTTCTGCCCATCCGTCCCTCCCACCGTCTCCTCATTCTCACCAGAGTGCGCTCCCACCTCAGGTGTCACTGCGGCTCCATCTTGCGCCATGGTTTCAGCGGTAGGGGCATTTGTATCTGCTGTGGCGGGAGTGTTCAATGACGGTTGTTGTGTTCCATCTCCCTGCACCGTGTCTCCAGTTTCGGCATCCACCGTTTGGCCTCCCTCGGACGAAGAATCAACGTCCACATTTGAATGTCCTTCGGGAGATGTTCCCGACGCTGACTGGTTTTCGGACTCTTTGGCTGCTGGGGAGGTCGTGGCACTGGACACCGCTGACGTGGATAAACCGCCACTCCCCGCATCTTTACTTTTCTTCAACAGTTCCTGTTCAGTCTGCTGTTGCCCGCCAAGACTAGACGGAGTTTCGGTTTCCAGCGTAGCTGGTTTACTTGCCTCTGGTGAAGGAGTACCCTCCTTCACTGTTTTTGTATCTTTTGCTTTTGAAACAGAAGGTTTTGCGTTAAGCGCACTAATCTCATCGTCATTCAACGGGCGGTTGTACAGCAGGACGTTCGTCACGGTCACAGACACGTCTTGGACCTCTGAGTCGGCTTTTGCACCTCCATCCCCTCCAATGTAGAAGTGGGAGATCTTTTTATCTTTCGTATTTTTCAAATCACACGCTTCATTCCCACCCACTTGCTTACCATCGACATACGCGGAGCCCTGGCTGCCGTTCCGTAGCAAAATTACCACGTGGTGTGTTTTCTCTGTCTCCCAAGTGTTGCTGTGCTCCTTAGGGTTTTCGCCACCACACAGCACCTGCCACTTCTTTCCGCTGTCGTATGACAACTCCATAAGTTTTTTTTTTTTTTCATCGCCATTCATCATCACACCCATCAAAGGAATAGGGCCCTCCTTCGGCTCACCGTGTATGGACACCGTCGCCACAAGAGTGAAGTTGTAGTTCGCAAAGTGGTACAGCTGATTCTCCCCCTGACTGCCAACGGGCCACTCCGCCCACGCTCCCTGGAACGTCACACTGCCTTCATGCAATGTTGCCTTCTTACCCCCATCATCATTGTTCTTCACTGTGGCGTTCACCCCGAGGTACTCGTCCCTCCATGTATTTCCAAAGATATTGTCCGACAAAAATCCAACCAGCCCATCCGTGATCTTAAAAGTAGAGCTGCAGGCATTTTCAGGTGAGGCACTCTCCACATCACTTTTAGAAGGGCACATCTTGGAGACAGTTTGGTCCACTTTCTTCCACGTCGCCAGCACATCCTTCACACGCTCCAGCTGCTCAGTCAGGACCACAGAGACCATACCGGGTGATGGTTTTTCCCCGTCCTTCTTCTTCTCGTACAGTGCAATCAACTCCTCTTTATTAGTATCTCCACTTCCATCACTTTTGTACAACAGGGAGCTGGCGGCAGCGTCATCATCACCTGATACGGGCCCAATATCAACAATGTGCGTATTGTCCGTCAGCCAAAGATGGAGTTCGCCGTTTTCTTTTTTATCAGCCTTCTCGGAATACACCGGCAGAGTAACAAGCATCACATTCCTGTTACCTTCAACACCGTCAATCGTCGCTGTGATGAACCCGCTTCTAACGGCCTTCACTTCTTCGCCCTTTTTGTTGCTCCACACGCGCGAGAGTGTCCCGAGTGCCTCAGTCCACGACTCCCCCTTGTCACCGGACTCGTACACCCTGCGGCGGCCATCATCACACGCAGTCATCATGATGAGTTTTTTGTCCTTCCACTCCACGACGGAGGGAACCCTGCAGCCATCGGCAGACATCCCCTTCGACAGCGTCCAACTCGCAGCGTTATCGGAGGTGTATAGGATCAGCGAAACGGTCTTTTCATCCATTCCTGCGCCACCATTCTTTGTAGCTTCCACGGGGAACACAAGCGTGCCGTCATTCATCTTAACACCCGATCCACCGCCGACAATCAGCTGTGACAGGGATTTGTGTTGGTCGCCCAGAGTGCACGGTAGATCGTCAGTATCGCTCCAACGAATTTTGTTACCGCCTTCACCAACCTCACCCTTCACCAGCAATAGTCCCGATTTGATCTTCTCGCTCGTAGCCTTACATTCAGCGACATCTTCATGGCTGTGTTTTCCAACAAGCATGTAAATCTTACCTCCCTCCGCAACTGCTGTTGGTCGGCTCACGTCTACTCTCTTCTCCTCCTCTGGGGAAGTAGCTTCCTCCAGAACTTGTGTGTCCTTGGCATCCTTCAGCACCTCCTCCGGTTCGTTACCTTTTCCCATCATGAGAATTTGGGATGCAATGCCAGTAAAACTGTCGCTTTCACCGTTCTTTTTGCACTGCGCCTCGGCTACGGCAAATACGCCACTCCCTAGTTTCAAAAGGCCGGGAACACCCAACGATTCCACAGTTACACCATCCTCATCCTTGACGCTCTTCCATTCAAACTGGGGTTCAGATGACTGCTCCGCAGCTTCAGCAGCACCACCAGTGCTGCAGCACATCATCACGACGAGGAGGAGCAGCACCGCGGAAGTAAACACACGCCGGGACATGTTGGATCTCTGCGGCTCACTCTCTCTTCCTTCCCTCCTCATTCCGCTGGATCCGGTCACGCGGCAACGGTTGTGTGTGCGGGGTGCCTTCACTGCAGCAACACGTGAGAGCATATAAATATGTGTGTGTGGGCGGTGTGTGTGCTGTTGGTCCTTTCAAAGCCTTACAATTTCACAGTAGCGATTAGCGTTTAGCCTTACTTCCTTTCCTTCTTTGTGTGTGAGAAAGAGGGAAAATGGAGTGAAACAGTGAACACCGCCACCCATCCACAGTGAGTGGGATCATCATCCCCGCCGCAACTCCCAACAACAACAACAACTGAAATGCACAGACACACGGAACAAGAGATGGATGAAGAGTGCACCGGGAATACACAGCGACTGCCACCAGCACCAGCAGGAGCCACGGCGGGTGCGTCGTTATTCCTCACGCGTCAGCACACACCGAACGACGCCCACGCAAAAAACACAACCAGCGGGATGCAAAAAAGCACAACCGCCCTTCGCTGCACCCACGCGCTGCCGCCAGTTGTATTGCTGTTGTCTCTACAGCGCACCCGCACATCACTCCGCACGCCAGAAAATCCCCCGTCAACGGATACACAGCGGCAGTGCCACGTCAGCAGGTACAGCTTTTGGAAGCAAATCAATCCGCAATTGTCCCAGGCACCCAGAATGCCACACCACTCACTGACTCCACAGCGACAACATCACGCCCGCAAAACGTCGACGAGGCAAATTGCGGACTCAAGCTCTTCTCGCAAAAGCAACTGCAGCCAGAATCGTGTGCGTGCGTGCGTGCTTTCACACCGCCCCACAACGTGTGCAACATGCCTTGTATGTATGCATGTGCTTGTGTGTTTGGCAACGCCTATAATTGCGGAGCAGCTGTGCGCCACAAGAGAGTCAGAAGAAAGCAACGGCAGAGAGAGGCAGATAGCACACACGCAAATTACTCATATCATCACACACACGCACACACACACAGCCCGCGGAATGGGTGCTCTCAACCACAAAACAATGAAAAACAAAACAAAAAGCCGAAGCGTGGGACGACCAGCGCACACAGTCTCATTGCTCCCGTAAAGCAAAACACACACACAGGGAGAGAGAGAGAGAGGTCGCCCACTCAATGCAATAAAAACAAAACAGAAACAGTTACGGTGCTCCGCCCATGCAGTCAGGCAGGACGGCAGCGGTGCGTGTCGTGCAAAAGAGAGCACCAACGGGCCTGCATGGGTGTGCATGCAATATATACAATGGGCACATTATGTGTGTGCTTCGTGGGATGAGGTGAGGGCGAGAGTCCATGCAAGGGGACACACACAGAGAGTGAGTGAAAGACGAGTGTGTGTGCGGGCGGTGCACGGCTCTCTCTCTCACTCACTCTCACGCGGCCACCACCGCAGCAGCAGCCGCACACGCAACAACAAGAAGAAGAAGCAAAGGAGGGGAGGTGGTGTGGGACACCGCGGTGCTGCCGTCGCTGTCGCCAGTCGTCGCCGTTGTATTTTTCGTGGCTGTGGCTTCGACTGGTGTTTCTTTCGGGTTGGCTTCTTTACTTTCATTTCGCTTTTCCTCTCGAGTTACCGCACCATCGGCTGCTGGGTCACTGTCGCCAGGCGTTTGTGTACTTTTAAGTTTTGTTTGGTTCGCTGCTCCCTCTACACCAGAAGATATAATTGGCGGCTCCTCACTGCCTGTTGACATCCCCTTTGTGGTGTCGGTATCATCTTCTTTGATTTTCTTCTCCTCCTTCTCCTTATCTTCTTTTTCTTCTTTCGTTTCCCCCTCTTCTTTATTCTTATCATCTTCATCTATTTCTTCCTCTTCATATTCCTCTTCCTCCTCGTCATCATCCTCCTCGTCATCTTCGTGCTTTTCTTTCTCATCCGTTCTTTCTTTCTTGTTTTTCATCTTTTCTTCTTCCATTTCTGATGCTTGTTTCCCGGATTGTTGTGCCGCTGATACGTCTGCTCCCGCTGCCGCTAAACTTAAGTCTGTCACCGATTCTGCCGGTAATTGTGGCTCTGCCGGCACACTGGATTTGACACCTCCTCCAGCGCCATTAGTGGTGTTTTTTCTACCGTCAGGATTATTGCCACCTTGAGACGCACCACCCGGAGGATCTTGAGTTGTTTCAGAACATCCACCACCGCCGCACCACAGCACGCAGAGGGCACACACCAGCAGCACACGGCCAGTCATCATCATCGCCATCACTCCTGTCACTTGCGTGCAGCCTTCAGCACAAACTAACAACACGTCAACGCAGAGCAAAACCAAAAGGAGAGAGACACGACACACTCACAGCCACCACCAGAAGCAACACGCATTTCACGAAAGACGTCAAACCAATTAAATTTTAAAAAGGCACAACGACATGCAAAAATTAAAAAAAAAAGCAGACAAAAAGCAATAAAGTAAAACAGTAAAAACACAAAAAAAACAAAGAGCTGCACACGAATGGCTGCAGTGCGCATGCACCCATCCTCAACAGTGCATCGATGCAAACAGTCGTGTGCGTGTCGCGCTTGTATGTGTGCCTGGAATGCGTTCCACGTGACGGATGCGAGAGCAGCAAAATGGAGCACACATCATGGCAGCGGAAGCAAGCAAAGCGAAACACAATCATTATTTTATCCTATTATTTGGTACATCGGATCACAACAGCTGGCACGCACAAATACTCGTGATTGGGTGCTGGCACGCACAGCTTACACACAATTCTTCAGCCCAGAGCGGTGTACGCCAGCGAGGATGCGGGAAGCAACGCGGAGCACACACCCACGCAGAGCTGCTGAGGCTGCCGTCGATTTCGCGAAGACGTGACGGTGCGCGGGTGGTGGACGTCGTGGTTGACGCCTCTCTATTCATGGCCGTATTACTAGGTGCCTCTGGCGTATTCATAGTAGTGTTTGTTTTGTTTGGCATTTTCATCTTCTCATTTTATATCTGTGCCTTATGATTCTCATCACCTTGTGTATTTTACTGCTTCCTTTTTATTTTGTGCATCTGACATACCGGTCGCACCTTGTGTGTGTGTGGAGACTGAGTTGCCAAACCTGCTGGTTCTGGATTATCGTTAGCCGAACGTAGTGTCTCTGGCGGAACTGGTGTCTGTCCAGTGATGGCTGTGCCTGCTTCCTTTGGAAAGAAGGTCCTGGACTTCTCAAACCCTCCTCACTGTCTCTCTCACTCTCTGTCTGTGGCACACCGGTCTCCCCACCATATGGCTGTAATGCACCAGGAATATTTCTGTAGGATCCGGGTTCCCTAGCTCAGGGCTGGGAGGACTGCTGTTATCATCATTATCGTCTCCTGTCGCCGTCACGCACACGGACGAGCAGCAGCAGCACAAGAGCGCAAGGAACAACACGGCGCACACCACGCGAAGCCGCACCGTCACCATCGCAGTCATCATCGCCCGTAGTGGAGTCGCTGGTGTCAGTCAGCCGATCGATGAGACGGAAAGGAAAAAGAATGGAACGAGAGGGAGAGGGACGGAGCACAGCGGATACAGCGAGAGAGCGCAGACAACATGAGGAGAGGGCAGCAGGCCCAGCCGCACAGTTCACACACCACGAGACGGCATCCACGCAAGGAGGGCACACAACGCCAGCAGCCACCCACCATGCAGGAGGAGAAGACATCCACCACCATCTCCCCCAGCTCATTCCTGCAGCCCCAGGGAAATGGCCAAAACCCCGCGGCCACCACACAACGCACACGGAGCAAGCGAACCCTCATCCATCCATGACGCGGCACAAAAATTTCCTGCCATCCCGCCCTCAATGGGACACGGAGCCCAACTCAGCGCAGTCACACGCGGTGCATCAAACCCACAGGAAAATAGACTCGGGCTGCGCACTCCCTCTCTCCCTCTTCTCCTCATGGCCACGGAAGAAGACAACAGCCGCCACACGCAACTGCCAGCATGCACTACAAAAGGAGCATCCAAATCCACTGCAATGTGCATCTTGTGTGTGGTTGTGTGTGCCTGCAGCAACACAAAGCAAAGAAATGCAAGGGAGGGAGCAGAGTATGTGGAGAGACGCACAAAATGCACAGCGGAGACGCATAACAAAAACAACAAGAAGACCGCTCAAACTCATGATTGCACTGCAGCCCAAGCAGTGGCAATTCACACAAGATTTATTGAAAACAAAAAACGTCCCCCTTCGTCTTATATAAAACCCATCACACAAAATAATTATAAATGAAAAAAGAAATCGTCCATTACTGCTCCACACAAAATAAAAAGAAGGTCGCCTGGCAGTCGTGTGGCCACACCAAACTCTCTGTGTATATTTTACTCGCAAAAGAAAATTAAAAAGATGGTTGCGTGTGCTTCAACCGTCTGACCCTCCATGTGTCCGCACATCGTTTATATTTCATGGGGTCATCTGCGTGTTGCTGCTCCCCTCAGCCCTCTCATCGGCGTGTGAGTGCGGCCCGCAGAGCACAGTCACTCGTGTGTGTGGGGGGACTGAGAGAAGCACGCAGACATGACGGGAGTCGCGTCTCTCCATCGGGAGAGTGAGCGCAGCAAAAAAAAGAAAAATCATCGGAGGGGAGAGAAATGCTCACGAGGCCGACACCGAAGGGTGCGCCACCGCATGAAATAAAAACGCAAAGCAAAACAAATCCTTAAAGAAAAACACGGCGGCAGGGTGTGGCTGTGTGTGTGTGGTGCTGCGGGTGACTGCCCGCCCTGGCCGAAAACAAAACAAGAGGGAAAGAAATGTGTGCTCCGCCCCACAGGCCCTCGTCGCACGCCCACACGTCACGGCTCCCTCAGCGCGCCGTTCGTCGCGGCCCCTCCTCATGCGTGCATCAGGCGAGGCGCACAGGGCCGTCGTCATGAGCGTGTCGGTGGGTGTGCGAGTGGAGCAGTTGGGCGGGAAACACACGGCACCCCTCACAGGAAGAGTGCAGCAACAAACAATTAAAAGGGGGAAGAGTAGAAAAGAAAACCGTCCATAGTGATTGCCCCCAAAAGCAAAAAAAAAGGTATTGGGGAAATGAGAAATAAAAAGTAAAAACAACAACAAAACACACAAAAAACAAAAGAAAAAAGAAATGAAGAAAGAAATCGCACCACCAGAAAAAAA